GAGTGGAGAAACGAGCTGCAAATTAATCTATGGACTGATAATTACTGTAACAATGGATCCATATCAAAGCTCTCTCACTGTAGTATTGACCAGTTTACCTCTGAAATTATCTAAAAAGTATGAGTTCATAAGCAGGATACAATACAATTTTGTCTTCAACTATACATATTTATTTACAACTATTGTTTTGAAAATGTGTTACTATAATATGTACGATTATTCAAACGAAAAAAAAAACCGTTAAGCCAAATTAATTAATTTTTTTTTTTAATCAAATTGCATCTATAATAATTGCATACATTGTTAATCTCCCACAGTGAGTACGTATATGTATTATCAATATTATATTTTTCCAAAGCGTATCGGATAAAGTCATAGCGAAAAAATAATTATCCCTCGTTTATTCGTGCATGCATTTTATACGCTGTTAGATATAACCGTAAATCTTCTATAATAAAATTTTGCTGGTTATGATTATCCTTTAGTAGGATTATTATTTTGCTGACTATGTACAACATAGTTATTTAGGCATCAATATCAGTGTAATTTTACAATCGATGTTGTCATAGGTTTTGGAATTAAATTACTTACATTACGCATTAGAACGGGTTTCTCATAGTAAATTTAACATGATTGTAAATTAGACTTAAAAATGATAATGAGTTATTTTAGTCAGTTACAGTAGTATTAAAGTAAGTATTCAGTTATCATCGTGATCGAGATACGGTCTACGACTCTCTAAGCTTACAATAGGTTTACTTTTAATAAACTGTTATAAGAACATATTTTAGATAATATTTATACGGGCAACGACGGTAGACAGTATAAACAGTACAACTGTTGTGTATTGGATTAATGTCAAGAGGCCCACGTCTTTTTAGAAATAATTTATAATAATAAAAAAAAAGAAAAAGTATTTTAACATTTAAAAAATAAAATTACAACTTTGAATTCAATCGCGGTAAACATGACGCGACGGTCAATGACATATTGTCAACAGTGTTTAAATATTATGTAAAAAACAAATTGTAATTTATGTGTTGTAACTTTTAATACACATAATAGTATACCTATTCTATTATTCAAACATGTGTATTGTGTACATTACTGCACGGATAGTGCATTCGTATATAAACATGGTGTAAAGTCAAAGCTCGTCCTTTGACATGATGATTGCAATGCAGATGTCAGCCGGCCAGTGTGTTATCATATAACCGTCCGTTTGTATGACCGATAATAATAATAATAATTATTATTACACGCACATACTCGTACTTGATGCGTTTTGGTGTTCTATATACGTGTGGCCATATTGCATGGCCGGAAGAGGGTGGCAGCTGTGGGTACTTTAAACCGTGAGCGCGCACATTTTGCAGCTTTTTGACGGATTAATGGAATGTTCGCCGTGTAGAGCGGCAACTATACGGTTTACGGTTTCCACCCCCCCCCCCCCATAAAACCCACAGAAGGGTCAAAAGGTAAAACATATATATTATACACTCTCTATCGCTTGCTTTTGAGTTCTACGTTATTATAATTCATATTATATACATTTTTGGACATTGAGAGCAACGCTGCGCCAAAGGACACACTTGCAGTTCGAAACTATAATATATTATCGCCGGCTGTTTAAAAATAAAAAAATAAATCTTACCGAAGTGGACGTATGATTTAGATTGTGCTACACGTAAAACACACACACACAAACGGTGTACGGTAAAAAAATATATAAACTATTATAAAGCCGGATTGACGGTGATTAGGGAGAAGGATTCCTCGCTAAGTGCCTTATTTTAATTTGAATTAGCTGCCTAAGGCTGCTTGAACTGGGACTGCCGACACTACCAAGTGTGTACTTGATCTGTTTTTTCACATTTCTTGTAGCATACATTTTTACCAAGTGTATACTTTATCAGTTTTTACACTATCATCATATAAATATTTCGAACAAAAAATATAATAGAATTAAAGGTTTAAGTTATTAATATTTTGCCACTTTTTTTTATAACACATACAATTTTCTCAAAAATCTATATTCAAACTTTTTTTTTATTAAGGACTCCCCCCCCCAAAAAAAAAACAAAGAAAATAATTACACTTTGACCTTAGTCAATTTCTAGGTAGCTATGTGTGAGTGAATCAACAGGTATTTGAATATATTTGCATTATATTGTTATTACGATAAATGGGTAACCATGGCAATAAATTATTTTAGACAGACGATTAACCCTTAATCGTATTCACCCCAATACTAAAAATACATTTTTAAGCAATTTGATCGTTCTTTGTATTTTTACAGATTTCAGACTCGCACGAGCGTTTGTTTGAAAACTGAAAGTGATTCTATCACTTTTAGTTGTATTCATTCATATAGACCTGTGGTCCACCTCGCCCTAATATGCTTCTAATATGCCACATTAGCTCACCATTAACTTCTTAAGTATAAAGCGAACTGTATAACCAGTAACTATAATACATTTGTATGGTCTTTCTGCCGATACAAGGATTATTATTTAAGAATATTTTCATATTGTGCCGCAAAGCATTATACTATCGTCTGATGTAAGACACTCATTTTCTTGGAAAATATGAGTATTTTGAAAATAATTTTTTTCTTATACATGTTATTTTACTTTATTTTTCAATACTTAGAAAATGTTTATCTTCGCCCCTTATACCCCTTAAACAAGTGTGGACATGTTTTTTTTCAAATGGAAACATATGTTTGTAATTCCACAAATATAGGGATGAAAGTAAACATTTTCTCAGTATTGAAAAATATGGTAAAATGTGTCATACTTTGTGTCAAACGTTCATACTTTTCGAGAAAACGAATGTCTTAGATCCGATGGATCATCTTGTAGACGCACTTACGATAGTATATGTACAAAAAATGTGCGTGGCAAGTTGTATTTATATTTTAGCATACGCCGCGACGGTGATGTAGCTTCCGAAAAAAGAAAATTCCAGGAAGAAAACGCATTTTGACAAACAAGCGGAAAATAAAGTCTCTTCTTCAAACTGCTGGCGTTTAAATGCAAATCTGCAAGTCGTTATGTGACAAGGTGTGCGTTAAGAAAATATATACATAATGATAATCAACCGGTGAAATTTTGTCTGGTGTGTCTACGGCCCATTGTGAATCAGTACACGGAATTTCGGGGTTTATCCCGGGAGTTACCGTCCGGGGGGGAAGGGGAAGGTGAGTGAAAGGCGCCAAAAAAGGATGGGGGGGAATGGTTGACAATATTTGAATGTTGCTATCAGGCGTCTACATTAGGGAGGGGTGTATGTGGAGGGGGGGGATAAAAAATATAAGAACAAGAAAGTGAGGTGAAAGAAAAAAAAAACGTGCTCGGATCTTGATAAAAAGTTGGCACCGGTTTTTTTCACGGACGTCACGTTTGCACAACACATTGCTTATATAACTTGAGGTATTATTTTGTTTCCCCTCCGAAGGGGCGGGTGTGTAAGAAAGAAAATAAAACACCAGGATTATTTTTTCCTTTTTTTTTTTATTTTGTCCCTTTTCGGTGTACGTTTTGGCAGACGGCGAGAATATCATATTAAACCGTTTTCACACAACCGGCCGGCTCTCATACCTACCACTGTGTTTTTGAAATTGATCGTTCGCATCTTTTGCTACTATAGATAAACATATTAATATTATAACGATTCGTCTAAAAAGAAATGCATTAAAGCCATATACATAAAAAAAAAAAATTCTAGAGAGTATAAGAAACTAGATTAAAGTGTAAGAAAATAATTGCATTTATATTCTGGACGTATGTTCATTGTTCAATATTTTTACGCAGGTATACAATAGAATTATACCGTATAAAAATGTTTAAAAAAACAATTTGATAAACTATTATCAGTTTTAATATTTGTAACAAAAAATAAATGTTATTATTATTTTTTTTTTTTGCAACACGGATGTCAGGATTGGATATTGTTACTGATAATTATTTACCAATAATACTTAAAATTGATAATACCGAAGAAAGATAAAAATCAAAAAGTCAGCTAACAATTCAAAAATAATGCTTTATAATCTAGTTAGATGTGTACATTACTATGTGCAACAATTAAAAGTAAGTAAAAAAAAAATGCCAACGGCACATAGTTTTCCTAAGCGGTCACAAGAGTAACCTATTCAGGTCCAACTATACCAAATGTGGTTTGACTTTAGTGATCGGACGAGAAATAATGTATTTTTAGACATTTAAATTTCTGTAATTAAATTTAAATACTAAAAAAATACACGGGCGGACAAATACTAGTTTTTTTTTTTTAGTTTCAATATTATGATAACATAACAACCAGTCCCAGGCACATAGTTGAGTTCGATATTCGGTTTTGGAGGTACAATTTATAAAACAATGTAATAAAGTAGGTATTTTGAGTAATTTAATTTTAGTGTCCACAATACAGTACAATGTAATATTATGAATAATTTCTTCGGTTATAGCGTTAAACAGATACCAATTATACCAATTAATATCAATATATACCAATTGATAGTCCGTTAAACATTTGTTATTATTTATAGTTGTAATAACTCGACATGCGGTTGGTTAAAATATATTAGTTTTGGTAAATAAAACGTTAATAACAAAATATGTGGTTATAAATTGGTTTAGGCTGAAGTCTGTAAACAAGTGGTAGAAAGTATAGAAGCAAAGAGCAAAAGGCAAAACTGAATCAATGTAGCTATTGACGGGTAGCTAAAGGATGTGTAGGTAGTCTAAATGAGCACAATAGGCTTAACATTTTTTTTACTTGATCTCTACGGGAATAAGAGCGGTTTAACGGGTAGTCGAATGCATTAGGATTTAGGATACAATAATATTGTACAATTATCAGTAGCAGCTGACAACGAACGTTCATGCCAAGACATCCACGACAAAGCCGGCCTTGACATTGTTGCAACCGACCAGCGACCACCAGCTGTTTTTACACGTTAGACGCATTATTATATTATAATATACACAGTATACTTGTACATGTATGTATACAACGCAGCAGTGCAATGGTGTTATGAGGTATACAGCTGTTTGGTACGCGTACAATGATGTTACACAACGCAGTAGCTGCCAAGTCCTGAATATCGTTTAAGCCTCTTAGTTTTGATTTTTTTTTTTTAATTGTTAGTTGTTTAATACTTTTGTCAATTACCGACGACCACGTACTTATCAAAATGAATGCACCGTTGCGCTGTGAGTATTTCATTGTTAAAATAAATAGCATATTTTCAGAGATAATATGCTTGAGTGGTTTTGAAGATAAGTATCGAATATTTGCTGAATTATTATGTTTTTGTTACCTCCTAACAACAGATAATATTAAATTGTTTAATTAATAAACGGTTTTATAATTTATTTAGTTTTCCAAGTGTGATAGATTTCATATGCTTGCTATATTTATTTTACCTTATGAAATAGCTTACAGCAATATTATAGTAAATTATATACATACATGTGTAGTTCTTGTGTGATTTGGTGTTCAAAATGTAATGAATCGTTTCACAGAATACTATAATTTTTTAGGGTTACTTATAATTTAATCAAAAATTATTAAATATAGGTACAGCTGTTACTTAATTTATCATATTTACTAATTCAATTTTAAATTCGGTGACAACAGATAAAGTTTAGAAGATTTATTTGAAAACATTTTTTATCGATATTCTAGAAGTTTTACATTATATGAAAAACGAGTTTTTGAATTAATGTGGAAATGTTGGTTATTATTTTTTTAAATAATAAAATAAATGAAGTACCATTTTGTAGAGTACATTGTAGATATACAATTATCAATTACATAAATAAATAAACGTCACCACTGTCATGTAAAAAGTGATCAAGTGTAAGTTAAAAGTAACTGAGAGAAAATTAATGTTTAATGTCTCTTTGATTTAATTTTTTTGTCATTAATAGTATTAAAACGTGGTTAACAACATTCTAATTATTTAATTTAGACACTTGATTCATACATTAGTTATAAAAATAAAATAATATGTTAACACGGCTTGATAGAAAAAATATTAGTAATCTTTATATCCCGTAAAAACTATTGTAGAATATAAACGTCGAAATGAATACTTCATTGAATCTAATTGTGCAAGTAAAAACCAAAAGATACTTATGAAAATAATTTACTACGTGGAATAAATAAAAATTATTTTCCAAGACAAGTGCCTGCTTGGAAATTAAATGACTAAAAAACAAGCATTTTTTAATTATTATAAAATAGCACAAAAAACCGTTTTTTTTATTAACATTTTTGTGGGTAAATTTGTGAAAAATCTGTTTTTTTTAAGGTATGATCATTTTTTTGGTACCTATGTGACCCTTATATTGCCGATATTTTTACTAGTTAGGACTCTCATATAAAATATTTAACTTACAAAAGTAAGTTTTGCTGTTACCCGTAAAAACCTAACGTAGCCAGCCATAAAGTCACAGACAATGTGGCTTTTAAAACTATGAAATATTCAAGTATAAAGTTATTTATCAATATAAAATATCAAATAATAAATTATTTAAGATTTATAAAAAATCCGGACAAAATGTCGACTACTTAGGATGGTCCGATTTCAGTTCTCTAAAGATATACGAGTTCTTTGAAAAATTGACTAGGTTAGGAAAGAAACAGATTTTTGATTTTTTGCTTTTTTTATGTAAAAAAATTAGGTTTTAAAATTGAAAAAATCTCCCTACATAACACAGTAAATTAGCCGAAGAATTCGAATCTTTTTACAAAATTGAAATTGGACCATCATATACAGTCGAAATTTTGTCTGACTTTTAGGTGTAAAATAAACCAAAATGGCTTTTACTCGTAGAAACAATTATTTATATTAAAAATAATACCTGGAAGCTTATACAAATTAACCGGTAAAAACGGTTGACACGATTAAAATTCATTAAAACCTCTTTTTTCTTAAGAAGGCGTCACACCGCCCATTTTTAAGGAGTAAAGTATAGGCAATATTTTACAAAATCTTAATTTAAAGGTTAAACTGTAATGTGTGATTATTAGTTCAATAACTAGGACTCTATTTTGGTAGTTAATTTATTTTTTGGACTACCACAGCATACTTGAAAGCGATTTAAAAATGTTTTTTCATCTCTACATGTTTAAGCAGACTGAAAATAACTCGCTTAATTTTGGTTTTAGAGTAAAAGCACCCATTATAAAATTAAAGGAAAACAATGTTCCGGAAGGCAAGATGTTGCGTTGTTTTCATTATTCTAAGTATAACGCTCAATACGTAGTTTAGAAATAACGACTATTTTAACATTTTTAAATGACTGTAACTTTTCAAAAAAGGATTTTTTTAAAAAAAAACGCACCGTCTTGCCCTCTTGAATATTGTTGTCTTTTAGTTTTATTATGGGTGCTTTTACTCTAAAACCAAAATTAAGCGAGTTATTTTCAGTCTGCTTAAACATGTTTTTACCACTGAAAATCACCGGCGCGACGCCCTCTTAAGTATTGCCTTTAAAAACTCATTCATATATAGCATACATCTATTGCTGTTGTTGTTTATGTATTTATTTACTTGATCCTTTTGTCGTTCAGAGGTATTTTTCGAGTCCAGGATTCAGAATCGTCTGCGGAAATTATTATTTTTTTTTTTTGAAAATCATTATTAACGCAATAACGTTTCTGTGGTAAAAATCATATTATACTAAACATTGTTACTGTTTTTTTGTTGTTGTTGTTGCTGTTTAGACGCATTAATCACAGGAGACGTTCTGGAGACAACTATTGGCGTGACGGGATTGACCATTGCTGCCACTGCAACGGGTTGGGGCATACCGTCGATGGCGGCCACGGGAGCGGCCATTAGCGTTTACAAAGTGCTTAAACTCATATTGAGGATACGCAGGAGATGGGCGTAAAACCGCTGGAAAATTCGAATAATGTAGTTTTGTAATTTGTGCGTGTAAAAAGAAAGAAAACAAAATTGACCATAAGCGGATACCGACCAAAACGAGGAACTCGGTTTTTAGATATATAACATTATTATCTACTATCTGTTTGTACATGTATAATATTATAACATGTACGTTTCGTTGTAAATATAGTTGAATATGTATAATAATAATAATATTATGATTTTCTTGTGTGTGCTTATATTATACTACGGCCGGTAATGTTTTTCCCGCCTTTTGTTGCTTATCAACAACAAATCAGCTGATAATATAATCAGGCCCAGGATACTGATAAAAATTAACACGGGCAAGATGCTTATCACACGAAAACGCGGCGGCTATCTACTTAAGGCTACACCACTGTAATGTTATAAATATATACATTATTATTATTTGTTGTGTTTAGATATTGTAACACATTAATATAATACTAAATAGTCCGTCACAAAATGGCCGTCACTTTGTTGTTTACATTAAAAGTGATCGATCTGTTTTCATCTATTTGGTGTTGCAACGTCGAGATTACAAAAATTCAACGTAGCCTAAACCTAACCTAACTGGCAAGCTACCCAAAAGAACATCATGTTGCATTCACAACAAACTAAAAGGATATTTAAAATAAAACAATAAAATCGTGTCACTAAAGGCCATTTCAATTTTTCCATACACAACAATATTCTATAATGGTGTTGTACGACGTAAAAAAATATGATGTTATGTAATACTTATATTAAAATCGTCAAGAGGTTTTTTTTTGTTGTTAATCTAGAAGAAGAAAAAAATTGATGAGTATGCAATTTTTTTTTAATAAGAGTCAAGTGAGATTTGAAGTGTTGAAAATTCGCAAATAAAAAAAAAATTACCTTAAAAACAGGCTGCCGGATTAGTCTACGAATTTTCGATATTCTCTTGTAATAAAATAAAATAAAATTTATTTAGAACGTGTCCTCGTGTATGATTCGTATTTAAGATCAATAATTAATTATCGTTCGGTGTTTACAACAGAAGCCGCCGCTGTTTGAATTTGGAAGATAAGAACCGTTTGTCTATCATTATTTTAATACGATATTACATTGTGTCTGTATCCTCACCTATGTGACAATACAAACATATATAAGAGTTTTAGGGGTCATTGGATTTTGGAAAACCGAAGACACTTGACTTTACCTAATAAGGGGAATGTAATATCTTTGCAAAGCTATAGCAAATGAACAGATTGATTAAAATTTAAACGCTATAATTGTATACAAATTGTTGTCTACTATATATATTTTATATTTCTATGGTATGTATCTACAAGTATAAGGAAAATATATTTCTATTTTCCGAGGAAATGAGTGTCTTACACCTGATTGATCAACCTGTAGTTTACACCCTGTGTATAAAAAGAATTGCATAAGTGAGAGGGGCTATCCAAGAAAGAATAGTAACAAGTAGTTTTCTGATGAATCTGATACTATTTTGATGCAATTTCGGAATACTAATGAAATTAAGTTATGCTAATAATTATTAAAAAATTGATACATTTTATATCAGTTAGTAATATAGTAATAGGTATTGTATTTACAACGATGTGTTTTTATTTTTTATTTTTGTGTCTGGACCCACGATATTTCGTAAACAGCTAAACCGATTTCTTCGTGTAGCAACTCTTTAGATCAGAAATCATACCGGAAGGTACTTTTTTAAGATCAAAACTTAAAAAAAAGTCACCCCTTCCCTATCACAATCGAGAAAAACACCTAAAGAATTTACAAATTTTTCAACTTAAAATTACGATGCTCTATAACTTTTTTAAAAATAGTCGAAAATGTTCCAAATTTATATGAATTGTTCTTCAAACATAAAACTATCGATAAACATTAACAAACCAAAAATATATCATAAACCCTTTCCCTTAGAAGGGATAGAATTTTTTTTTTTACTTCACTTTTTCAAGCAAAGTTTTAAATCAATTTTCTCAATAATCTGTAGTCAAAATTTTTTTTTTATTAAGGAAAAAACCCCAAAATAGGGTAAATTTACACTTTGGCCGTAGTCAGTTCTAGGTTGCTATGTGTGTGTGAATCAACAGCCAACAGGTAATGAAATTTTTTCATTATATTGTTAATTATGATAAATGAGTAACTATAACAGTACATTTTTATAGACAGACGATCAACCCTTATCGTATCCACCCTGCACAAGATTAAATATTAAATTTTAAGTACATTTTTGCTGGTCCCACGATATCTTCTAAGCCGCTATAACTGGTTTGAACATACTATCCACAGATTCGCATCGAAGCGTTTATTTAAAAGTGATTCATCACTTTCAGTTATAATAAAATCTGTAGACTTGTGACCTCTCCGTCCCCACTATGCCCCGACCTCACTGTACTGGATTTTTTATTTTAAACTCGTGCTATTTACTTCTTTTTAGTATATATGCTATATTTTATTGCACTTATAATATTTATATTTAACCCGTATTTATGGAGTCTAGTACGTATAAACATTAAACGTATAATATCGTGTCGAAGGAATACAGCATAGGGTTAAAACTCCAAAGTAAACACCGTTAAGTTTACTTAATACTTATTTTTACACAATAGTTTACGCAAAACGTGTGGAACGGTACGCATAAAAGTCTGAAGTCATTAAGTCACTATGATCAAAACTCATTCAACACCCAAAATGGGAGACGATAATGTTTTTGACTTGGTAACCAGCGACATTCATATTTTTTAACTGTTTCGAAAAACTTTAACAAAGGTAAAAAAAAAACAAAATCATTTTATGTGTTATCGGGTGCTGCATAAGGAGAGGTAATCTGAATATTATAGCGAGCAATTTATTATGATAGAACACAACTACAATCGCTTCGGTGAAGTAGTGAGTACCGACTGTTGATGAGGCGTGAGGCGATTAAGGGGATTGAGAGCAGGTGTCTTATGTAGATCAAATTTAAGAAAGACGTGGTTTCTAATAAATTTTGACATAGCTGGTATAAATTATAAAAAAAATAATGTTATCTTTCCAGAAAAAAATTACGATGACTTCTCCGACAATAACTAAATATTATAAATCATACATACTCATTTATTTTGATATTAGTACAAAACTACACACACGAGTCAAATTTGAAAAAAACAGAAAATTATCTTATTTTTACAGATAATTATTTCAACTATTTTGATTACTGTGGTCGTTTACGATTTTACTATGGAATTTCACCTTTTTTTGTTTTGTTTTTCTAAGCGATTTTATGTAGAACTCAGTTTCAAACATACAGATTTTATGTAAAATTATTTTATCAAAAAAATATTAGAAAAATTCTCAACACAAAAAAAAACCAACTTTTTAGATAATAAGCTCAATTTGAATGATTTTCTGTTACTCAAAAAATAAATCAATACCTTTCAGCAAGCCGAGATTATTTTACATAAGAAACTTTAATAATTTTTTTTATGGCCTAAGATACTATAGAAAAACGATAAAATAGAAGAGCAAAGAAAAAAACTGAAAATACTTTATACAACCTTGGCCAAAATAATCGGGAAAAAAAATTCCAACAAATTTGAGGACATTCTTTTTATTGTATATAGGATATATTTATCTCTAGACATATAATTATTATATTAACATTATTAAGTTGTTCTAAATTCCAGTTGTTTTGTGTTTATCACATAAAAAATAAAAGAACGAAAGAAGTTTAACTTAGAGTACCTACTCGTAACACTCACACTAGATTTTTTTTAGTGATTACCTAATTACGACACTTCGGATATTCGAGTATGCTTATTGCTTAATCGTTATTACTGAAGGGGTGCTGGATTTTGTTGGTACTTGAGATGCATTTGCAGAATTATGTAACAATTGTTTACTTCGGATTTTTTTAGTATTAAAAAAAAGAACCACTTATGAGGCCTCTACACTTGCTTATTTTTGGTCGAAAACAAGTCATTCTATTTCAAACGTACTGTTCCTAAGAGTACTCCGATTTAAGTTTTGAAAAAATATTTGAATTTTTCATAACATTTTCAACGCATCGATCGTGGCATAATTTTAAAATAATTTTTTGTCAATTCATTATTTCAGTTTTAAAAATGTTAAAAATTGCATCTTTTTACAATGAAAGAATTAATTCACTAAAAATAATTTTAAAATTATGCCATGATCGATGTCTTGAAAATGTAATGAAGAATTAATTTTCTTAGGTAAGTTCTGTTTGAAGTAGAAACATAAGTTTTTGTACAAAAACAGATCCTATATGTCTATATAAAAGTTGAGAAAGAAAATTAAATATCATAACAGGTCCTTCATTCCTATGGTAATGTTATGTTCGTTTAATAATCTTAACCTTGTTAAGTTTTAGTGAAAAGCCTATACAATGCGCATTAATAAAAACCAGTGTGTTTACTAAAAAAATGCAAATCCGACACACATCAAGTCGTTCATAAAACACGGATTTTAGAAAAAATCTCTAAAATTGTTTTTAAACATGTGGGACATACTGAAAAATCTAGTAATCAAAATAAGTAGTTCAAAATTGCTGTACTTTGTTATAAATAAAATCAAATTGTATGAACCATTCTGTTACTATTAGTTTTTAATGGGCATGGTGGTTAAGCTATTACAAAGTAACAAAACTAATATGGTCTTTAAATGAAAATGGAAAATTAAAGTTGAACAGTTTGTATTTTAGATTCGGTGCAAAGATGAAAAATTGTTTGGTTTTTAAAACATTGTAATTTTTTTCTTGCTACACAAATTTACTTTAATCAGCACCTGCTTTGTTCGGAAATTAAATGCAAATGGTACTTCTGTCCAAAACGCTTTTCCACTAAAATTGAGAAATCCCAAAAAATCACCGAATTCTTATTTACAACTCTGTGTACAGCTAAACTTCTTAGTGTGCTGGATGCTTATAATCTATCAATACATTTGTATGATCCGTTTAACAGTAATTCAATCTATTTTACATTTAATAACCGCCTAATAATTTTGTTAATTTCACCGTAGTAAAGTTCATTATACTGTTAATATATTGTTCCAGTTTTTTATTGGTTTTGTTTAATCGTTTGCACCACGCCCAAGACGCAGGATTATTTTCATTACTTAAAATCTTTTTTGTTGACACTTTGATTATTATATTTTTTGAATAAAATATATTGCTTAAGTAGTTTCAAACAATTGACACTCAAATTTTCTTATCAGATAATATTTTCTATTGTTTCGCTGCACGATAAGTTTTATTTACTTTCGTTAAACATTGAAAGTGTCCATATATTTTTTCAATTATTTAAGTATTTTAAGTATTGACAAACGAAATGTATTATCTCGTAAATACATTTTTTTCAAGTGTTGTTATAAACGTAATCTTCGAATTCGAAAAAAATATTAAAACCATATATATGTACCATATTTTATTTGATATAAAGTAGTATAAAAGAAAGAGCAATGAATAATATTTTTGTCATTTAACTACCGATTTTTTCTGTAATACCTACGGCACGAACGTTTTGTATTCAAACTTCATTTATAATTTTTCCATAATTTTTTTGGAAACACGATTAAGTTTTGGAGGAAAACAATGGCGACAAGTATGATACTGAAAATTCAATTATATTTGAAAGTCAGGTTTTATGAAAAATTTATTTTTTGTTTGTATAGTTGAATTTCCAGATGTTTTATTTGGCACTTCGACTAGTGCGTATCAAATCGAAGGTGCATATAATGAGGATGGTAAATGATCAAATTATCAATATAATATTTTTAATAATAGGTTAAGACATACAATTTTTAAAATCATATACGATTAGATTTATGCACAATACATAGTGGATTAATTTTTAATCCATTTCGTATGTAATTTACGTTTTACAATTTGAAAAAAACAATTTGAAAAATACTACACATACACACGGTTTTGACTTTTGTTAATAATTTTAATAACTTGTTAAAATGTTTAATTAATTTATGTAAGCTAACTATTTTCTGCTTTTAATAATTACTCAAATAAAAATGGTGGAATTCCTTTTTCAGAATAGTTAATGACAACAATATGATTTTTTTTGTTTTATTTCTCATCCGAATTGTTATGTTTATATAAAATCTATACAGTCAATATATTATAATTTATAATTTATCAGAGAAACAAATAGTGGAGACAAATTAACGAAAAACTTTGTGAATAGATCTTTTCAAATACTTAAATAATTGAATTATTATTACTAAAATAAAATTCCAAATAGTGTTAGCTTTAAATTTGAAATGTTGCAAACCATTTGTTGTACCTAGACCTCAGTGAATAAAACATAATTGGACATGTTTCTTAATATTATAATAAATATATATTACTCAGACTCAGTCTGTTGTTAGCGCTGAAGATGACAACATCGTTGTCGTAACACGTGTACGCAAGAAGTGTATAATTTTTTTGGTTTAGGGTTCAAGTAGATTTTATATCTTTACTATATATTAATAATTTGGTATAAAAAGTACTTATAATTTAGGCATTAATAAGAATTACAATCAAGTTTTTAAATAAATACAATTAAATGGATTTATAACTACGTTTTATATTCATTATAACATATTAATCTTATAAGGCAAAAAAAAAATGATCTAATTTTTGTTTTTAGATTTAACGCATTAAAAATCCACCGCAAATATCTTAACTAAATTCAATAAACTAATTTTACGTTTATTACTTCTATTCGTTTCCTTTTTTTTTACACCTTTATTGGAACTGATGATATTATAATTAAACAGGCATGTAATTAAATTTGTTGAATCTAGTTTTATTTTTGTTTTCGTATTTGTTAAATTGTACGTTTCAGGAAAAACCTTTAGCATTTTGGACACTGCATACCATGGAAAACAAACTTCAAATGGCGCAGCCGGACGGTCAAACGGCTATTTAAAAACAGCTGCCGCATACGTACCGAAAACTAAGGTCAATCAAGCAAATAGTTGTCCAGTCCCTAAAAATAATGACAATGGTGATATTGCATGTGACTCTTACCATAAAATCGAAGAAGACGTTTCAAATTTGAAAGACCTAGGCGTGAGTGTAGAAAACAATATTTTTTTCAGAAAATGTGTATCAATCATAGTTATTATTAGCATCCAATAAAATTACCGATTGGGTTTCAGGTCCAAGTGTATCGGTTTTCGATAAGTTGGACAAGGATTTTTCCAGGAGGGTCAGATAAAGCTAATCCGCTAGGAATAAACTACTATAAAAAGTTGATAGAACAGTTGAAGGCTGAGAAGATCACACCAATGGTAAAAATATTTTTAATTTCTTTTGGCGGTGTCTAATATAGTTGGCTAAGTCAACTTTTTTATTGTTATGTATATAGCACAACTACTAATCCAGATTCTAATGTATATTTTTTTCCAGTTTATGTAATTGTCAGTGTCTCGAAAATGTTCTATTGAAAGAGTTAAATTTATTAAAATTAATCAATTTATAAATGAACGGATATGTATTTACATATTACAACGATTAGGAGGAAACAAAATGTATATTGTTTCTCGCTGATAAAATAAAAAATATTAATTAGAAAATGTCTCTAAGGCTCTCATAAATTGTTTCAATAGAGTGTTGTGTGCTTATTGGACAAACCTTTTACCGCTTGAACGGGCCATCGCTTTTTACCAAAATCTTAAAGCAAAACCATTTTCAGGTAACGTTGTATCATTGGGATCTTCCCCAGGAATTACAAGATATAGGCGGTTGGGCGAACGAAGAAATAATAGAAAATTTTCTTGTATACTGTCGTTTAGTCTTTGGTACATTTGGAGATGATGTGAGTATAATGTTGTTTTTATCGAGATTGAATTTGATAATTGAAATAACCTTTTGCCTCAGGTTAAGTATTGGATTACTTTGAACGAACCTAGAATGGTAGCCAACGGTTATGGTGGTTGTAGTCTTCCTCCTAAATTAGGTGATCAGTGTAGTGGCATTGAAGACTATAAGGCAATGCGTAATTTACTTCTCGCTCACGCAAAAGCGTACAGATTGTACGAGAAAGAATTTAAAGAGAAACAGCAAGGTAATACATTTTAATATACTTTACATGAACTGTCTAAAATAAAGTTTTACAGTCAAGTCAACTTTTGGCTTGATTAAAAAAAAATGCTGTAAATTAAAATTGTATTCACATTTTCTTGTATAATAAATTACGTTTTCTAGCGGTTAACTACCTTGTATTAAATTTTGGTCAAAAATGTACTTGGATCATTTTTAGATTAAGCCGGTGTCATTAATTCATTGCCTAGGCCAATGTTACAGTAGGGTTGGGGGTGGTTAAATATTATTATGGAGACATTTGTCTTACTTTATTTATGGATTTACTAGGATCAACATTTTAAATGGGAAATCTGATCAATTCACAAAAACGATATTTTATCTTAATTATAACCATAACATTATTTGTATTTTCGTTGTTTATTGTTTATAGGTGAAGTAACTTTATGTATAGATGCAGCATGGGTGTTCCCATTTGAAAAAAATTCAGATGATAAATATGCTGCTGAATTATGTTTACAATCGACTGTAAATATTACCACCTTACTTAAAACTGTACCGTAGCAGACATTTTAAGAAGAAAAATAAATTCATATGTAATATTACATCTTAGGTCGGTGTGTTTATTCAGCCATTGATAACTGGACAATTTCCACAAATCGTTCTTGACTCTATTGAAAAGACAAACCGAGAAACAAATAGAAAAACGAAGAGGCTCATTCAATTCAATGAAGATGAAAAAAAACTACTTACTGGTAATTTCCGTTGTTTTATAATAATTATAACAGCTAATCTTTAAATGTTGTTGGGTTAATTTAATTTAATTGCACTGTTACAGTACATAATACTTTTCTTTTTTGTAAAACTAGTAACTAGTTAATATTTAAAAAATTCTACAAAATGTGCATGGCACACATAAAGATTTCTCAAAATATGTTCTATTCAAGGCTATATCTTATAATAATGTAGTACCTCTTTTTGGAACACACTAAATGATAATGTTGTATAGATAATAAATAATAATATATTAATGAATACACTTTCTAGTAAGTACATAAAACCAAAAATTATATTATTTGATTAGTATCTAATATATTATAGGTTCTTATGATTACATTGGATTTAATTATTATTTTTCGTGGAGGGTGTCTGCGTTATCCGAAAATGATATAACCCCTGAAACACCGTTGAAAACAATTGACCAAGGATACATAACAAAAAAAACACTTCCAACAGATGTAATATAATATTTATACTTAATTATTTATCAGAGTCAACTGATTCTACTATTTTTATCAGATTGTGGAAGGATTTACTAAGTTGGTAGATTGGATGAATGAACAATTTAAGGTATCGTCCAAATCTGGAAGTCATAAGTTTTTCATTTGTGAAAATGGAACTCCAACCAACAACTATGAAGATAAAGTGAACTACCACCAGGTAAAAATGTATTTATAGACTATAGGAGTAAAATTAATAAAGTAGCATAACTTAAGAACACGGTAATGAAGACTATACGAAGTTTACAAAAACTTTCTTACGTTATTCCAATGGTATTTTGTAATATTTTTCAAAACCGACTATCGAAGATGCCATCAAATTATTTAAAAACATTTTTCAGGGAATATTTGAAGAGATGTACAAAGCAATAAAAAATAATATCAACATATTTGGCTATTGCGTTTGGTCATTTATGGATTCGTTCGAATGGGGTTCGGGATACGAGTAAGTTTGAAATATGTGTAAAATAATTATCCCTAAAACCATGTAACTTTTCTATTTTCGCCATACTCTGACATCATAATGACGACCTGAGATTTGTGTTTAAAACATTAATTGTCAATTAGTGACAATTAAAGATTCTGACTAGTTAACGTGCAAACCTTTGTACTTTTAGAAAATAATATGATTACTTGTATCAGTGTTAATATTATGATAGCGTTGCTACCAAAGCACGAACGTACTACTATTGAAAAGGCTATTACTTTTTGTGGTGAAGGGTATTTATAAATATTTTCTTATTTTATCTGTCAACTACATACGAAGCGCATAGCGTCATTAGAGCTTTACCCGCAAATCTATTATTTTAAAGAAAAACGAATTCTACTTTTTTAAATGTCAAATCCAAGATAGATAATTGAGTTCTGTTTTTTTTTTTATAATTTTCAGACCGAAGTATGGAATATATGAGGTAGATTTCAATGATGAAAAAAGAACTCGTACAAAAAAACCATTTTTTGGTTATTTCAAAAAGCTGTTCCAGACTAAGAAGTTAACAATCAAAGGAAAAATTTGATTGGGTCAATTTTTTTTAAATTTTATTATTTTATACTGGGTTAGATTAAATAATATAGTAGTGAATATAGATATTATATATTTTAAATACAAGGTAATTTACTTATTGGTAAAAACTGTAATTGGTGAAACTTCAAACATATTTTATATTTTAATAATTATCTTTTTTTTTTTAAATTGAAAAATGTAATTTTTTTCATACTTTTTATTGTTATAACAATAAATAATTATAAAACTTATTATATAACTTACGTATATTATATTAATACTAATAAACATTATGATTATAAAAATTAACTGTTATTTTATTTTAAAAATAATTTCTATAGACCACGTACGGCGTATGATGTTTATATATTATATAGTAGTAACTTGGAAGTTAGTATTTTAGAAATGCAACCGATTGAATAATCTTGACAATTTTTTTCCTCTACAAAATGCGGATAAAAGCTTATTCTAAAATTGTTTTAAAATTACAATGCCACAGCAAATCATACATAGAAAACTTAATATAGAGAAAATTTAAAAAGCTATAAAAGGACAAATTAGTTATACAATTATGGTTTTTGTGGCTGTTGTTACAAATCGTTTGCATTTGCTATTTTTATTATTTATACGTATAGTTTATTAGACATTTTATTGAGTCGGTACATCTGAGGAAACAAAACTAAATAGAGTTCTTAGTAACTTCAACACTTGACGGTGTAAATGTAATTTACAAACACTCATAATATAAATCAATAGTAGATTATAATAATATTTATGTAGAATTCATATTTCATGTCTAAGAGCAGATACGATTATTAAATACATCTTGACGTTAACGTTATGGTATTATACGATTTGAAACTTCCTATTTCTGTAAAATTACCAAAAATGTTTTTACGACATTTGTTTTGATTAAATAAACCGACGTCTGAAATAATAATAAATGTTCAAACAACATTTAAAAACATTTCTAAAACCGCCGTCGTCCAGATCAGTTTCTGTTTAATTTCTTAAAAACGTACAAAATAAATGTAATTACTCTTCGCAGTTCACGTTGGGTTTAGTATTATTATATTATGTTAGTGGCACTACTTAAATACACCCCGTACAGCAATGGAGATAACACAGATTAGGTGCTATCAACGTGAACCCCGTTGAACTTGGCTGAATTCTCACAGTTGTCACATTATATTGTTGTTGTCGTTGTTTACCTAATATTTTATAAACGCGTATCAGTTGTAAGTTAGTCGGTAAGTTAGTGTATATGTTAGCGTGACTTGGTTCGTGATTTACAGTCGTACGGTAAAAATGTTGGCGTCTGCGACTTTCCCAACTTACGGGCTGTACTCACCTACATACGTTCGCGTGTGTGTGTGCTTATAAACTTTCTAAAGAACACAAGACTGTCTTTCGAGGTTGTCTGCTCGCAAACAAAACAATGTCGGCTTGTTAAACGACGGGTTGCCGTTGTGGTATAATTAAACTTGCCTGTGATTTTCGGTGCCATCAATCATGCGAGGCAACCGATTAATCAACCATTTTCGACCGACCGACCACCGCCGAGTCGGTGGTATCAGTCTTAGACGAACCTAAGTAAGACCAAGCTCGGATGTGCGTCTAATACTGTCTAAGTGCGCCGGCATGACAGAATAAAAGACCGGAGCAGCGAAGCGCGAAGCAAGTACAAATGTATGTGCGAGTTTGGCGAGAATAAATAAAGATTTCGACAAGGTTTTAAGTCGGTGTAGAAGACGTGTAAGTATGTGTATATATATATATATGTACAGGCAAAATACGTATAAGCATATAGGATCGGAGGTGACGGACGCATTGTACCGTTGCATCGGTTCGCACGGAAACGTTTTTCTTACATGTTATTTTCTTCTCCTGCAAACATACACTGGCCGGATGGCAATAATTCAAGATAAACTAGTTGACGTTTTATTGAGCGCCTCCTCCGCCGACGGGCCCACGCAAACCTTCCAAATATGTTGTCGGGACGAGGGCACGAAAAACCAAAATAAAGTATTTTTCCTCCCCCTCGTTCGTGGGCGGCGCATAAATTATCCATCGGAAAAACGTCATTTGATTTTTTTATTTCCGGCCCCGAACCGGACTGGTTTAAAGGCGTACAGTATTTGTATGTTTACAACGATGAGTTAAAAGTGAAAACACCGAAGCCAATGTTCATCAAAATTGCATTTATAACAGAAATACTACAACTGTTGAAATGTTGAACCGGGTCGGCTAAAATTTACATTATACTCTTAAACTAAAAGTATATTTATGTCAGTCAGGTTAGGAGTATTTTTTAATTTAAAAACTTACTAGAAAGAGTCTGGAGGAATGTACACAAAGGAAAGGCTAGTGTATAATAACTGAAAAATGGGCACTGCCGAACAGGTCAAAGATATGGGACCAAGAAAAAATATGATACAGAAAAAAGGGTAAAAGCAGCCCTTTTTTATTTTGTTTTTAGAAAAAGTGACTCGTGGCGAGTAGCTTTCTCGTTTAACGGAAAAACAATAAACTATTGAAGGAATAAATTGGTAAATGAAAAAGAAAATGTCTTAAACTAAAGGAAAACCTAAACTCTAGCCAACTGTTGGCCGTTATACTCCTTAGACAAAATAAACGTTGACATGTTAGAATAAATATTTTCAAAAACGGTTGAAGAAGATATTGGGTTTGAGATAACTACGTAGTTTCATTAGACCACCGAGTATAATATTAAGTGTCGAGCACGTGATTTTAATTGTTGATCCTCTAATACGCTGTACTTGAAAAATAAAACAAACAAATTATAGTCAGGTAGAACACTTAAAATAAAAGTGCTACGTGTACTCTATTTTGATGTTTATTTTAAATAGTACGGCAAGAACTATGATAATTGAAAATGCACTATCGGGACACAATTTTTATTACTGTGTCTGTATCTATTAACGTCACAAAACGCAATATAGTTGTACATTAATCAAGCGACTTTAAACACCATAAAAGTGATATCGGGGTCGGATCATATAATAAAAATATAGGGTGGGCTAAAAAAAAAATTTACTTCCAATACATAAAATCATGTATAACACATTTATTCATGCAATAAAATTAATTTTCGAAAAAATGTCAGTTAACGCTTTTATCCACCGACCACCTTCAATTATTATGAATGCTTAACTAAATTAATTTGAAATAATGGTGGCAGATCAACGTTTCCAAGGACCGCGTAAAGGTTTTGCGATAATATTTTATATTTATATAATATCATAACTAGCTGTATATTATTATAATATATTGTTTATAATATTATGACATTAGAACAGCTGGTGGGGCGACTAGACCGGACGTTGGCGTAAAATGGTCAGAGGGGCATTCAGCCGGTGCAGTTGAAGACCAACAACAACCATAATATAATTTTCCACCGTTGTCACATCGAAATGGCCGCCGGTGTACCGAACGATTTGCACACCCGTTTTATAAACTCTATTTTTCTTTTATTATTGTTCTTATTTTATTCATACCGTCTTTCGGTATCGATAAATATTAATATTTACCCGTAACGTATAACAAAAATAGGTCATCTATACTGTGCGCCCTAAAGAATATTCACACATGATACACACTCTAGGGTATTTTTTATGTTGCAATAAGTGAAAGACATACGAAGGCCAAATGAAAAACAAACCGCCATTTTATTACACAATCGCAATGGCCGATGAGGAAAAAATAATATATAAAATAACTATGACAAATTACCTATATAATACGTGTAACTTGTTTTATATATTATTGACTTCTTTGGCGGTACAGTGCTTGGATTTCGGTTTTGATTCCAGAAATGTCCAAGAGAAAAAACTAGACGCAGAGCAAGAAGTCATGCTGGAGAAGTCTTGGTTTGGTAGAAGTATTAAATTTCAAAGTGATTAAATCACTACCAAACGCTCCAATGTGGTTCTGCTATGTTCAGATAACATTATCTACTAGCTTCAGAGCGTTTTGTTCTTCAATTTATTTATCATACATTTGAAATGGCATTGTTGCGAAGATTACTAGCCACTTAGATTTGATATAATTAGGTTTTATAACACCACTAGGAATTATTGAGAAAATACTTTCATGCGTCACTTTTCCAGGAAAGATGAGGACTTTTACGGGTTTGAGATATCAGGCTATCGTTTAAAAGGATTTTTTTTTTGTTTAATTTTAAAAGCAAAAGAATGATATTTTGCAACGGAGATACTCCTAACTACGATTTTTTATGAGTTAATGTGCTACAGTTGGCGTTACTATACTTCATTTAAAATAAGAACGCACCATGCGGCCGACGAAAACTAGTCCGATTTCGTGCATACTTCCCTCTCAACAGGTAAAGAGGGTGAGTGAAGCTCACAGAGAAAACATTTTAGGCCTTAAATTGAAATGTTAATTAATTTTTCAATAAACCAGAAAAAAATACAGGCGGAGGGATTTTGTTGTTGGAAGAAGATTACATTATATTGTCGAGCCAAACAAATACTGTACCGAAAATGTATTTTGTCGGTCAAAGTCATTTTTTCGTTTTTTTGCATTTGGTTTTTTTTAATCGACTGTATTACAGTTTTTCTTTTTTGTTTATGAACTTTGAGTAAAAATTATGTCTGAAACCGAGGAGTCTTATTCAAAAAGCGTTTCAGGACTTGTGTCTCGACCCGCATTTGTTTACAAGTTCTTATTACTCATTCGAACAACAATAGTAACTCGTTTACTAAAATTTAGGTATAATAAAATGAAATAGGTAAAAGTGAAAAAAAGTATCTACTTAACTATTTAATTACAAGTATCGAGTTTATTAGTACAATTAAAAAAAAAACAGTGACATACCTACGTCGTTTTGGAAATGACCGATTCAATCATTAATTTGATGTTATGTGCGATTAAATTATGAATTTATGGTATAATTTTTGCATAACTAAAATATAGTAATGAAGTACGGCAATAAATATAATCTTTTTTTTTTTTTTATCAAGATAATATTATCATTATGTAGTTTTTGATTTAGATACATTGAATTTGTATCCATCATTGTAGATGTATTGCTTTATAAGAAATTCATGGTTCTAGCTC